CCGAATGTGTTCGGAAACCTCCATCTGAAAATCCAGACAGGAAGCCTCTGGTTTTGAAAAATTCGGCATGCGCGCGCGACAACGCATGCGTCGACTTTATCACATATGTTGCGAGGGATCGTTGGTAACTGCTGACTTCTGATCCACAAATGCGCGCGCGCCCAATATCATTCGACAGGGATAAAAAGGGAGCGATAAAAAAGGTTTTGATGGGATGGTACGAGTTCATACTTAACATGCACGATGGGGCCGAATCGTGTGTAAATCGTAGTTTCCCAAAGAAGGTCGATTAAGCCGAAAGGTAGATCCCAACCCCATTCTAGAAAAGGAGGATCTACGTTGTCTATATCTAGGCGTCGACGGGGCGGCCACAGGGCGTCTACGGCGACAACATAGCCGCCAGAGCGGATGACAAAACCAAGCGACGGCCGGCGACGAGGCAACGACGGGGCGGCGACGGCGACAACATAGCCGCAAAACCGGTAAACCGGCCCAGACGGGCGGCGACGAGGCGACGGGGCGGCGACGGCGACACAATAGCCGCCAAACTGGCAAACAGGCCCAGACGACGGGCGGCGACGAGGTGGCGACGGGGCGACGACGGCGACAATATAACCGCCAGACTGGGAGACAGGCCCAGCTCCTTAGATGGCGGGGCCCCCATGGGGCCACGAAGCGCTGTGCTGGGGGAGACGCATGTGGACACCGCCATTGGGGCCCTAGGTGGAGCTCCCTATGCGGCCACAAAGCGCTGTGCTGGGTGGGGGGGGCGCATGTGGACAACGCCGCTGGCGCCTTAGGTGAAGCTCCCTATGCGGCCACAAGGCGCTGTGATGGGCGGGGGAGGCGCATGTGGACATCGCCGCTGGGGCTTTAGGTGGAGCTCCCTGTGCGGCCACGAAAATCTGCGCTGGGTGGGGGATACGCATGTGGACACCGCCACTGGGGCGTCAGATGGAGCTCTTTATGGGGCCACGAAGCGCTGTGCTGGGTGGGGGGGAGACGCATGTGGACCCCGCCAGCGGGGCCTTAAGTGGAGCTCCCCATGGGGCCACGAAGCGCTGTCCTGGGTGAGTGGGTGGGGGAGGCGCATGTGGACATCGCCGCTGGGGCTTTAGGTGGAGCTCCCTGTGCGGCCACGAAAATCTGCGCTGGGTGGGGGATACGCATGTGGACACCGCCACTGGGGCGTCAGATGGAGCTCTTTATGGGGCCACGAAGCGCTGTGCTGGGTGGGGGGGAGACGCATGTGGACCCCGCCAGCGGGGCCTTAAGTGGAGCTCCCCATGGGGCCACGAAGCGCTGTCCTGGGTGAGTGGGTGGGGGAGGCGCATGTGGACATCGCCGCTGGGGCCTTAGGTGGAGCTCCCTGTGCGGCCACGAAAATCTGCGCTGGGTGGGGGATACGCATGTGGACACCGCCACTGGGGCGTCAGATGGAGCTCTTTATGTGGCCACGAGGCGCCTGTGCGACCACAAGGCGCTGTGCTTGGTGGGGGGGGGCGCCCGTGGACACCGCCGCTGGGGCCTTAGGGGGAGCTGCCCATGGGGCCACGAAGCGCTGTGTTGGGTGGTGAGACGCAGGTAGACACTGCCACTAGGGCCTTCGCTGGAGCTCTTTTCTGGGCCACGGCACGTTGTAATGGATAGGGAGGGGACGCATGCGGACACCGCCACTGGGGCCTTAGGTGGAGGTCCCTATGGGGCCACGAAGCGCTGTGCTGGGGGGGACGCATGTGGACACCGCCGCTGGGGCCTTAAATACAGCTCCCTATGGGGCCACGAAAATCTGCGCTGGGTGGGGGAGACGCATGTGGACACCGCCACTGGGGCCTCAGCTCTTTATGGGGCCACGAGGCGCCTGGGTGAGGGGGAACGCATGTGGACACCGCCACTGGGGCTTTCGGTGGAGCTGTCCGTAGGGCCGCGAAGCGCTGTGCTGGGTTGGGGGGGACGCATGCGGACACCGCCACTGGGGCCTTAGGTGGAGCTCCCTATGGGGCCACGAAAATCTGCGCTGGGTGGGGGAGACGCATGTGGACACCGCCACTGGGGCCTCATATGGAGCTCTTTATGGGGCCACGAGGCGCCTGGGTGGGGGGGGACGCATGTGGACACCGCCGCTGGGGCCTCAGGTGGAGCTGCCCATGGGGCCGCGAATAGCTGTGTTGGGTGGGGGGGGCGCATGTGGACACCGCCACTGGGGCCTTAGGTGGAGGTCCCTATGGGGCCACGAAGCGCTGCGCTGGGGGGGACGCATGTGGACACCGCCGCTGGGGCCTTAGGTGGAGCTCCCTATGCTGCCACGAAAATCTGCGCTGGGTGGGGGAGACGCATGTGGACACCGCCACTGGGGCCTCAGATGGAGCTCCTTATGAGGCCACGAGGCGCCTGGGTGAAGGGGAACGCCTGTGGACACCGCCGCTGGGGCCTTAGATGAAGCTGTCCATGGGGCCGCGAAGCGCTGTGCTGGGTTAGGGGGGACGCATGTGGACATCCCCGCTGGGGCCTTAGGTGGAGGTCCCTACGGGGCCACGAAATGCTGTGCGCTGTGCTCGTTGGGGGGGGCGCATGGCACCGCCACTGGGGCTCTAGGTGGAGCTCCCTATGGGGCCACGGAGCGCTGTGCTGGGTGGGAGGGGACGCATGTGGACACCGCCACTGGGGCCTTACGTGGAGGTCCCTATGCGGCCACGAAACGCTGTGATGGGTGGGGGAGACGCATGTGGACACCGCCACGGGGGCCTTCGGTGGAGCTCCTTCTGGGGCCACGGAGCGCTGTGCTGGATGTGGGGGTGACGCATGTGAACACCGCCGCTGGGGCCTTAGGTGAAGGTCCCTGCGGGGCCACGAAACGCTGTGATGGGTGGGGGGGCCGCATGAAGCCACCGCCACTGGGTCTTTAGGTGGAGCTCCCCATGGGGCCAAGAAGCGCTGTGCTGGGCGGGGGGGACGCATGTGACCCCGCCACTGGAGTCTCAGGCGGAGCTTCCTATGGGGTCACGAAACGCTGTGCTGGGTGGGGGCGACAGAGGCAGGGATGGGAGGAGGGAGGCGGAGGGAGGAGGGGGCCCAGGAACTAGGATGAGTGAGACGAAGGGCGCTGTCTCTTCAGAACGAGGACCCAACGCCACAAGATCGTTGGGAGCAGAACAAATAACATACAAGCATGCATGCGCACATTAACACATACGTATGTGCATTCATACATGTATGTAGATGCTCAAATCCACGCATCTAAACAAACACACAATAAATCATACGTAATACATCTGTGGTGGTCCCTAACCCCGAACAGGGCGCTGGGAGGCCGAAACTCGGGGGAACAAAACTGAAGGAAAACAGCAATCCACTGAAATCAACAAAGAAAGACATACCCCAAGTCCGGCCTGCCCCCCCGCCCACCCCAAAGGGTGGTGGGGGTGGGGGCAGTCGGGGTGGGGGTACTCCTTGCGTCGTCTTGCGAAACGTCCTCACCATCGGATTTCGACAATTTCCGGCACAGCCCCCAGAAGGAGGTCGGCCAGGCGAGGGGCTGAGGCGCGCCGTTTCGTTTCCGAGCAGTTTGAATCGTGTGCGCGTGGGGATGCACATGCGTGGCGGAGCGACCAGAAGAAGGACAATTCGTGTATCGACCATCTTTGAAAGAGGACGCCGTTGCTGCATCAGCGCCCCCCTGGTTCGTCAGAAGAAGTGGGTAACCCAAAGGGGAAGACTTAGGCCACGAAGATTTAGGCCACATGCCGGCCGCAGGTGCTTGCAGGGTCAATGGGCCATCGCAACGGCCAGCCAGAGCGCCAGCGTGGCGCGCCCTTTGCCCCCCCCCCTCCCCCCCCCTCGATCCATGTTTGCGATCGCCTGACTCTGCCCGCCCTCCCCCTCCCTCCTCTGGGGGGGGGTCGCTCCCTGCCTCCCCCGCTCTCTGGCTCCCCTTTCCCTTAGGTCGGGCGTGTCCTCCTACAGGCGGATATTTGGACGGGAGAAAAATCAAAACACTCCTTAATATAGGTTTCAAACACTACAGCATCGGCCCCTGACCATTTCTTGCTGCTTTTGGAATGTTGTCCCTCTGTAGAGGGACACGCCCGACTTCCCCTTTCCCCCCCCCCTCCTGTGCAGGAGCGCCCTCTGCCTCCCTCGCCCTCTGCCCCACCTTCCCTCTCGCCGCCCTCCTCCTCCTCCTCCCTCCTCCTCCTCCTCCTCCTCCTCCTCCTCCTCCTCCTCCTCCTCCGACTCCTCCGCCCTCGGTGCCGCCCCTCTCGCCTGGCCCCCCCCCATCCCCTTCTCTGGAGGGGGGCGCGCTCTGCCGCTCTGCCTCTCCCTTTCCCCCGCCCCCCCTCCCCCCCGGAGGGGGGGGCGGCGCCCTCTGCCTCGCCTCCCTCCTCCCCCCCCCTCCGCTCCGTCTAAGGGTGGGAGGATACAAATACGGGGGGGGGGACCATTGTCCTTGCGTCCCTGGTGCCCGTGCAGAAGTTTTTAGTCCGACTACTATTATGCTAGCTGCAGCGCCACCCAGTCTCGACAAGCCGCATGCTTCAGCGAGGAGCCAATCCAAAAATCCCCCCCTCAGCTCGTGGGGGGCCGCCTGCTGCCCTCTGCCCCCCTTCACAATTTGCACCATAATGAATACCACGCTCTACCGTGCTCTTCTGCGCCATGCCGTGTCGTGCCCTGCCATGCATCGTGCACCCTCTCGCGATCACTGCCCTGCTCGGCATCCGACTGTGCGAATTTAGGGAGGAGGTCTAGACCTCGGGTAAACGAGGGGAGGGAGGGGCAGGACGTCAGATAGGACGCGAGCGCGCCTAGCCTTAAGTTGGGCGTGTCCCCCGACAGGGGGATTTTCGACGAAAAATAAAAAGTACCAAACAAATGCTCCCAAAGGGGCAAACATGCTCAAAAAAGGGTCCCCAGGCTATGTGTTGGACCCGTTTTGAATATTCTCCCTGTAGAGGGACAGGCCTGACTTAAACCCAGCCTGCCCTCCCCCCCCTCCCCGCCTCCCGCACCAGGCTGAACAGCTGCCGCAGCGAGGGGCCCTGGCGGCGGGCGGCGGGCGCGCGCGTGGCGCGGGCGCGCCGCGCCCCCCTCCCCCTATGACCCCACGTTTGAGTCGGGCGTGTCCCCCTCCAGGGAGAGTTTCGACGAAAAACAAAAAGTACACAAAAAGTAGCCCCACAAACGGTGAAACAAATGCTCAAATAATCGTCCCCAGACTATGTTGTACTATTTTTTGAACATCCCTCCTGTAGAGAGGGACAGGCCCGACTTAATCTTAGAACCACCGAAGGTTCTCGTAACAAAGTCAAGGCTCTCTGAACATAAAGCGGGTCGATTGAAACAAGACTGTCTCAATCAGGAGTGTTACAAGAACCTGTCGCGCAAACCACAAACTGATCTTACAGCACTCTTTGGTATGCCGTGACGCTTCGCAACTGCTTGACCCCCCGCCCCCCGTCTTCTCCTCCCCGCGCCCGGCCCGTGGGCGAACGCCAAGCGCGTGAGCAACGGAAAGAGAAGGGGAACTCACGCAACACGGCACGTGTACCCCTCGCGGTGGCTTGCGCGGGCCGCCAGAGCGGGGAACCATGTGGAGAACGAGGGCGCTCATGGGCGGCTGGAGCGCAAATGTCCGCGCCGTCGACACCGAGTATGTGTTGCGTCGCTCCTGTGGGGCTGCGGTGGGACAAGATCGCGGATCGAGCTTCGAGGTCGTGGATCCAACTTCGAAGACCCAGGGTTCTGGGCACCATGAACTCATGTTGAGGGTCTCTGGGGATTCTCGGTGCCACGTCCAGATCCAACTCGAATTTCTTGCTGAATCGCATCCCAGAACAAGTCAGAGCAAGACGTCCAGCACTACGGTAGGACCCAGACGAAGGGGTACGGCAGGAGCGAGGCCGAGGTTCGAAGGTACAGATTTTTGGGCGAAATGGGGCCTCTGGGTGGAGGTACTCGTCGCCATGGCTAGTTCCCCCCAGGAGTCTCCGCCGGGGGCGCATGCATTCGAGACCCTCGAGCCGAGGCCCCCTCGCGCCCCTGTATAAAAAGATCGGCGGAGGGTTAGTGCCCGTTTTTGGCGTGCGCAGGCCCTTGCCGGCTCCCCCTCTCCATTTCCACCCCCTTTCCCCCAATCAGTTCTGGGAGATCGACCGCCGCCCCACGCGCGAGCCAAATATCTGGAAGCAAGCGCTGGAGTATCGCTGTCCGTACGAGTGCCGATTAAAAAAGCCTTCAGACTACAGTCAGACCCAGGCCAGAAGAACATCATTCACGAACGTGAGACCCTCAATCGGCCAGAACACACAGAACATCCAAGGCCACTAACCCCAGGATGCACAATAATATCCAACAAACGCGAAGAACACTGGGGTATCCTCCCCGAACCGACCTCGATCTCATACTTCGGTTCGACTGTACAGCAGCCTTCCGACTATGTCATTGGCGAGGGTTGTCTGCTTCTCAGCGCTGACGCCGCTCAAGGCAGCAAAAGGTGCTCGGCACGCGCTGCGAGTGCCCGCTGCCGTCGAGCAGATGGAGGCTGCGCGCTGAGCACGCGGTCGTCCAAAGAGCGACGATCCAGAACGAGTCTTACGTGAGATGACATAGCGACCTCACGCGGTGGCTTACGCGGGCCGCCGGCGCGGCGCACCACATTTCAAGCGAAAGCGCTCTCGCGCGACCTTTCGCGGGAAACTTACGCGCGATTGTCGGCGCAATCGGACCCGTTTTTTCGCGTCGCTCAAGCGGCGAAGGTCCAGGTCAGGTCGCCCGCGCGGTCCAGACGGCAAACGACGAGAGCCTGGCCCGCCGCCCTCGAGCGGGCGCGATGGCTAGAGGCCTCCCAGATGGGAGCCGAGTAGATGGGGTCGGAGGATCGCGCTGCATCGGCGATGTATCGGCGATGCATCGGCGATGCATCGGCGATGCATCTGCGACGTCGGCGATGCATCAACGACGTCGGCGTGGGGAAACACGGGCTCCACATGGAGCCGCATCGGCGATGCATCGGCGATGCGGCGCGATCCTCCGACCCCATCTACTCGGGTCCCCTCTAGTAGAGGGGTCCTGGGACACACACACACACAAGTAACAAAAACAAGCCCCAGGATTCCCCTACGTTCTCCGTGTTTTTCCTGGGCTGTCGTCTTCCCCCCCACGCCCCATAGTTTCCCCGTCTTCTCTCGGAAGCCGAAATCTACCCGTGCCAGTGTGTGTTTCCTCCCCTCCTGATCTAGGATTAAGTCGGGCGTGTCCCCCTACAGGGGGATTGTGGGCGAAAATAAAATGGAAAACAAAAAAACTCAACAAAAAACACTAAATGCTCAAAAATAGCCAAACGATCGTCCCCAGACTATTTTTTGACTATTTTTGGATATTCCTGCTGTAGAGGGACACGCCCGACTCAAATCTAGGAGGTCTGTAGCGGCGCCGACGGCGGGACAAAACGCCCCGCGTGCGCGCGCGCGGCCCCCCCGCGCAGTCCCCGGAGCGGCCCGCTCGCGCAAGGCCCGCGCACGCGGTGCCCGCAACCGGCCCCCCGGTCGCGCGGCCCCCGCGGGGCCGCGGGGGGCCCCCGCTTCACCACTGTTTGATCGCCCCCTCGCTGGACACAACATATTGGTGCAACTTCTCCACAATTGCCCGGCCGCCACACCCTCGGCATGTGATATCGTAAATCGGCGCTTGCGCTTCGACTCTGATTCTGTTGGCATAGACCCCCTGGTCATGTCCACCCGGACCGTGTTGCATTCTGAATCAAGGATGATCGCTGAGTGGTTGGAAACAGTCAACCCGTATGGGATGGGTACAACATGTGCGGTAAGGATGCAGGGGCCTTGGAGGGGCATGCTAACGGTATTTCGAGCGAGGCTGGCCAGCGAAAGTGGCCTAGGATGGGCCGAAGGGGCAAGGATGCAGGGGCAGCCTTGGAAAAGGTTGCCCATTTCTACGATGCGGATTGACGGTAGTTGATACAAGGCTGGACAATGAGCACAGTCATAGATGTTGAGAACGGTGAAGCGACCCAATGATCGAAGATTGCTTGTGAAGCATGCGTCGAAACGACTGCGCCGACTACAGGCCCTCATACTTCCACATGGTGACGCCGAGTGGGCGGCAGCTGGGTAGTTTCGAAACTACTCTGCCATCTAAAACGATGCTCGATGGATTACCACCGCTCTGGCGCCGTATCGCCAAGCGGCTTCGCAGTTTATGCAAATCACAACTCGAGTTCCTCAACACTTCCCCGTCCTATTGTCGCTCTGTGGGCCAGAGGAATTCCACAGCATCGGGGCCGCTGGTAGACTCGTTCATGCGTTACACACAGTAGCCGCAATACATGCTTGCCCTTGGTCGCCCAATCGTTTCCTTTCCAAGCCATGACATCGAAGTATTTGCAGGCTGGGCGTTTCGCCTTTTTCAGAACGGGGTTCTCGCCCCACCCCAGCGCCGCGCATTATCGTCTCGACAGGTTGCAACAGCTACAAGGATGGAGGGAAGTCGTGTTCTAAGTGAAGCTCTCAACTTAGCACCGCGCACATTCGTCGTAAAAGCTTCCAGCAGTTCCAAGGATGGTGCGGGGGATACTGTTCAAAATGGAGCTCTCGCCTTAATGCCGCGCGCACAGGAGTAGAAATGCTTCCACCGGCTCGAAGTACTCGGATGGGAGTGTCGTTTCAAGATGGGGATCTCCCCCCAGCGCCGCGCATATTCGTGATCGAAATTCGCACCAATTACACGGATTGAAGGCGGCTCCTGTTCAAAATGTGGCTCTCGCCCTCTGCGCCGCGTATATTCTTTTCTTTCAGCTTGCGGCAGCTACAAGGATGGAGAACGGTTCGATGTGCATGGCGAAACGTGCGAACATGTGCAAAACTTACACACATAGGTGCGGCCCGTTCGTCAACATGGAAAGATCGCTGGACACCTCAGGGAACTGTCTGGTCATACCTGCCCGCATTTCTCACTGCTCGCTAAATGGATGCAAGTCAGCTCGTCTCTAGAACGGGGCTCTCGCCTGAATGCCAATCCCGCAGGGGCGCTGGTCGTTCCCGGGGGCACCTCTTGTCGTACGAAAAGGGGGGCGCGAGAGACTCCGAGGCGGGGCCCTGGGACGGCAGGGCGCACTGAGTAGCATCGTTGTGCATCCTGGGCCCTCTCTTTCGCCTTATACTTCCCCATGCGGCACACGTCGGTGACAATGAGCGGCAGCAGCGATGGCACTTTGCGAGCAGGGCGGCACCCTCGAAGGCACGACGGCACGGCGACGACCCGCGAAGCGACCAGGAACGAACCACACACGGCCCAGAACAAGCGGGGCGGCGGTCCTGGGCGTCCGCTTCCTCCCTCTCGCCCCCACTCCTCCCTCCCGCCACCTCGCCATCGCTCGGACGTCCATTTCCCGTACATGTTTTTGATTTCGTGCGCGTATGTTTTGCAGGATGATCCAGGACGCTCCTCGATGGTCCTCGCCGAGGAAAAAATGCACACGCCCGAACGATGCCAAGCCACCGCTCCTGGAGACCGCGGGGGGCGCCTCCACCACCCGGAGCTCCGCGGGGCTAAGGCTGCCCCTCTGGGGCGGCGTGGACCACCTCCGCGGAAAAAAACGAGGGGCACGGGGGAGGAGGGCGAGCGCGCGCGCACGAGGGAGGGGGACGGCACCGGCGGGAGGAGGAGGGGCTGCGGCGCGGGGCGGGAGGAGGATTGGGGAGGGTTTGGGGCTGCTCGGGGACGTCTGTGGGCCCTGGTGGGCCTCCTGGGGGCTCCTGACACCTCCTGCGAGGAGGGAGGGGGGGGGAGGGAAGGGGGGGAGGAGGGAGGATGTCACAGTGCTTGTATACCCCTTGTGCCCTTCGTTGGGTTTCCTGGGGCGCCCTCGTCGCCACGACGGGGCGCGGTCGGGGCTCTGGACACGCCGCGGCCACTGTGACCGAGCCTCTCCGTGGCTTTGAACCGCTTGGCTCTGCAGGGTTCGGGAAACCGTGTGGGATCCCCACAGGGCCAAAACCTGGCCAAAGAATTCGGGGGCCGGCAGTTCTGAACTCTACGCAAAGCCGCCTTGCCGCACGTCGACAAAATGTTGCACCACTTTTGCCGCGCATTGTCAGCTATATTGCATTGCTCCTCCCCCCCCTCCCCCTGATCTTAATATTGGGCACATGGCAACGGTCCCTTGGCGCCGCCCCCCAGGGCTCGCGACAGAATGTTGCACCACCGAGCCGTTTCGATGAACCCGGGACCGCAGCCAATTTTAAGATTGGGGGGAGGGGGGGGTGGAAGCGAACATCCATTGCAAAATCGGCTCGCTTTCTTGACAACACGAGGTGGTGCAACATTTTGTCGATGTACCGTGCCACTGCCGGTGCCCACACCACCTGGACAGAAGACGGGGAGTTAGTAGAGTTTGCCTCAGGTCAGGCGTGTCCTCCTACAGGCTGATTTTATACGAAAAATAAAAAATAGCATAGTCAAATGCAAACATAATGCAAACATCGTCCCCATATCATTACTTATTTGTGATTGTTGAATATTCCTCGTGTAGAGACAGGCCCGACTGAAAAATAGCCACCCCCTGTCGCAGTGCAGCTTCCCAATCGAGCACACGGGGGGCGGTGCAGGGGAATGCTGGGGCGGGCACGCGCGCCGCCTGCGCACACTGACCCAACGTGCCCGGCGAGCGGGCGCGCGGGAGGAGCGAGCTCTCTTCACGTCATGGTGCGCAGACCTTGCTGGGGAAGCGCAGAGGTACATCGGGAGCGCGGGTGCAGCCGAAACAAAGCCACAAGAACGTGGATCCGGGGCATGGCCCCTCTCGCCGAGAGGCCAAGGCCCCACGGCCCCATGGAGGTGACAGAAACGAGCGAGGCCACGAGGCAGAGGACCCCAGGGGCCAAGGCCCCGTGGAGGTGCCCAAGACTGACAGAACAGCGGCCCCGAAGGGCCCAGGCGCCGGGGTAGAAAGCCCAAACAGAAAGAGCACGGTGGTGCCACTCCAAGGTCAAGGATGTGCACAACCCTCGTGCCCAACTTTGTGGTTGCCGTGACGATGGACACCCTAACAATCCGATCATTGACAAAAACTTTGTTTCAAATGTTAGAAAAATGTTGTTAACATGTTTTGAACATGCTCTTTACATGTTTAAGACATGTGTTAAACTGATGTGAACATCTGGAAATTAATTGGCACCATGCTTCCTCTCCATTCATCGTCGTCCACAAGCTCAACTGCTGGGGGAAACCAGAAGTCACCGATGCCCCAAATTACTCGGACCTCTCCTGGGGTGCGCCGGGACCAGGATCACCAGGCGAATCCATCGGTGGCGACGAGGGCCTCCCAGGAGGCCAAAAAGAGGGGGAAACGAAAGAAAAATAGCGAGGTACGGGCATCGTTAGGCCGGGTACCGTTAGGTTGGAGGAAACATGAAAACTAGTCAGAAGAAAACAGGAGAGACAAAACATGAAAATAATCCGGAACTAATGCAAACAATAATCGAATAATGAATCGAAAAATCGTCCCCCGGCTATATTGAAACCAAAAAGCTTATCTTGAACAATATTTGTCCTCCTGTAAAAGGGACATGCCCGACTTTAGGGTACCTTCTCCTCCTCTGGGCAGCAGCACGGCGCATGCCGCCCGCCACAGCGCAGCGCACCCGCACCCGGGCAGTGCGCACATGGCGTGGCGGCGCGCCCGCGCGGCGCAGCAGGCGGCGCTCCGCACGGCGAGGAGGGCGGGGAGCGCAGTGGGCGCGTGGCATGCCGGGGCCTCGTGCCGGGGGGCGCGCAAACGTGGATTGGCGATCCGTGGATGTGGCGCGCGGTCTGGAGGCAAGAGAACTATGCACATACACCGATTCCGGCCATGCCCATCCTGAGCCCAGGATCGGTGCATATGCCCTCCTGCAGTGGCCAGGAAGGCATATGCACCGATCCTGGGTCAAGGATGGGCGTTGTCAGGATCGGTGCATGTGCAGAGTTCTCTTCGCCCGAGAGTCCATGGATCGGGGGAGGTGCCCTCCCCAAAGTGCGGCCTGGTGCCGCCTCGTTCGGCGGCGGGAATTCGCGAATTCCCGGGGGCTGTCGCTGGCGGCCTCCGGGGCTGTCGCTGGCGGCGCGCAGGAGGGGGGAGGGGGGAGGGCGTCTCGGGAGGCGGCTTCTCAGAAGGCGCCGGCCCTGCAGCCATGGGCGAGGCCCGCGCCCTCTAACTAGGAAGCGGGGGTGCCTCTGAGAAGACTCCCCCCCTCCGCGCGTGGCCGATGTCCACCGTTTAGCCCTGTGACCGACGCCCGCGCCGGTCCCGGCGACTCTGCAGGCATGGCGCTGCGCAGTTGCAGATAGCACCGCGCCGCACGGCGGAGAGAGGGCGGCGGACGCCTGCTGGTGATGCTGGGTCGTGCCCTCGGCTTCTGGGCAGCCGGTGGGGCCCCTCCGGGCCAAGAAACCTCGGGGGCCCACAGCAGGCTTAGGTCGGGCATGTCCTCCTACAGGCGGACTTTAGACGAAGAATCCGCCGACCGTCGGCGTGGGGAAGAGGCTGTTCCGTTTGCCTCGTCGAAATTGAGCAACGCTGTAGTTGAGTCGAACGGAAGCCCCTTTCCTTTGATCCCTTCCCTGGCGGGGGGGGGGGGGGGGTCCCGGGGGTGGTCCCGGGGGGTCCCGGGGCAGACACAACTCCCTCCCGGGGGCAAGACGCGGCAAAAGTGCCCCAAGATGTCCCCAAGACGGTCTTCGAGGGCCCCGAATCGCCGAAGTATCGGTCCATGTCGCCAAAGTAACCTCCAAATGGCTCGAAAGGTTTCGAAAATGCCCCAAGAGGCCTCCAAGAGGACTTCCAAGACGGCCCCAAGGGGCAAACAATTTCGATTTCCCGTAAGTTTTTGAAAGAGTTCAGCATTCTCGCCTCGTCAGCTTCCCGTCGCTCCAAGACAGGCTAAGAGGCCTCCAATACCGCCCCAAGACCGCCCAAGAGACCTCCAAGACAGCCGAGGAGGCCCCCAAGACGGCTCCAAGAGGCAGCCCAGACGGGGGACCCGAACGGACAGTTCGATCCCTCGGCCTGAGAAGCTCTCAGGAAGCCCCCAGAGGCCCCTCAGAAGCCCCCCAAGAGGCCCCACAAGGCCCCCAAGAGACCCCCAGGAAGCCCCAAGAGGCCCCCACGAGGCTCCCAAGCGGCTCCCAAGACCTTCCCAAAAGGCTCCCAAACGAGACAGCTCGTCGTCGTCGTCATTCAAGGTCGGCAGCACCGGCCGTGAGGCCTTCACAATAATACGGAATCCAAAACTAAACTACACCAAAATTGCCGAAAATGATCAAATAAGATCGTCCCCAGACTATGTTTTTTTGCTATTTTTGGATTTTCCTGTCGGACGTGTCCTGTAGAGGGACACGCCCGACTTAACAGCAGACCTCAACATCACGAATTGGGCCACAGGATGGCCTCGAAGTGCCACGGAACGCAACGCGTGTGGGGGGGCGGCGGAGAGGCAGGAAGAGGCCCGCCGCCCGGGTCACCATGAGCCGGCCGGCCCTGCGGTCGCACCGGCCGCCTCGCGAGGACGGTCTTGGCCAGCCGCCGCTTGGTCTCCCGAGTCGTTTTCTGGAGGCCCAGGGTCGGACGAGGAACAGGTACCCATACCTCTGCTCTTCGCCCGTTTTCCCTTTCTTCAGCCTCCTGGGAGGCCCTCGTCGCCACCGCTGGATTGGACTCGAAATTCTGGTCAGAACGCACCCCGGGAGAGGTCCGGGGAGTAGCGGCAACGTACCTCTTGGTTTCCCCACAGTGGCGCCGAAACGGAGCTCTGCAATGAGTGACAACAAAAACGCCGCCGCCAACACATCTTCCAGGATGTGGGGGGTCTTGGTTCGGCGGCCAATACCCTCGACCCCAAAGCCGTTCGGGCCAGAACTTCGACGAGAATCCGGCTGTGGGGAAAACGCTCCCAGACGCCGGCAAAGCGCCCGAAACGCTGACGTGACAAACTTTGAAGAACCCAATCCTCGATCTCTGACACGGTCATGGCCCCTGGAGGGCGAAAATGGCCAAAGACCTTCTGTTGAAATTGAAGTCAACGTCGCGAGGGGGTCTTTGGGACGCCCGAAATTCGTACGAATAAACAGGGTACGATGCCGAATAACCAATGTTGTCCAACAACGACAGCGGTCGCTGTTGGGCGGGCGGCTTTTTTTGTCTGAGACGGACAACGTCTGCCGCGGCCTGGAGAGCGAGCCCGGTTCGAAATGAACAAGAACTGCTGTCGGTCTTTGTACCCATCAGTTCCGTACAGTGGGGGCCAATCCACAAGAAACCTTCCACAAGAAACCCAACCCTGAGACCCCAGGACGTCCATTGATTTTTGGTGTGGGAAGGTCAGGCTATCCACAGGAAAACCATCGAAACTCACGAAACCCATGGCACCCTGGAGGCAAGCAGGGTGTCTTGGCATGGGCCTCCACTGTGCCCATTTCGATCGTCCCGAGGGTCTCGGTCCGGAGGAGGAGGAGGAGGAAGAGGAGGAGGAGGAAGGAGGGATGAGGAGGGGGTGGGAGGAGGAGGAGGAGGAGGAGGAGGAGGAGGAGGAGGAGGAGGAGGAGGAGGAGGAGGAGGAGGAGGAGGAGGAGAGGAGGAAGAGGAGAGGAGGAGGACCCGTGGACCCGTCCCGAGGAGCGCTCCAGACCGAAACTCGTGGGGAACCCAACCGCGGCCACGAGGAGCCCCCCGGCGGCAACGAATACTGGAAAAATACTCACAGGCCTCAGCTCCCCCATCTCGACGTCCAGGCTCGAGCTCCTCGCCCCTCGGCTGGCCCTGAGGGGCGAGGGAGGGAGTGCGAAAGCTCGAGGGGAGGGACGTGTCGGCTACGCGCAAGAGTGACCCTGGGTAAGAGCGACCTTTGGTGCGCGGCTTTTTGGGGGCCGCGGGGGGGCCAAACGCAAGCGCGCAAAACGCCTATGCCGCCTCGCGCTCGGCGATCAGTGAGGAGGAGAGCCGTTCTGTCCCCCGGGAGCGGCTGCCAGGGCTGCGGTACCCCGACAGGGTTCTGCGGGCGTACCTCCAATCGGCCGGTGCTGCGGGGACCAAGCTCTCGACCTTGTCTTGCCCATGCTCCGCGGCCCCAGTGGGCGCGGCGGGGGCGAGACGCCGCCACGGCTGGGCTCAGGGGCCGCTGTGCTCGGGCAAGCCCACTGACACGCGGAGTCTGGAGGAGAAATGAAAACATAAATAGTCCACAGATAGTAGAAACCTCGTCCCCCCACTATTTTTAGGTCGGGCGTATCCCCCTACAGGGGGATTTGGGGCGACAAATAAAAAAATACTCAAACAATGCCGCCCAAATGGGTAAAAATACAAAAAATAGTCCCAACCTATTTATGTTTTGACCATTTTTTGACTATCTAGAGGGACAGGCCCGACTGAAACTTGAGCCCAGAGCAGGGCCGCAGCCGCGGAGAGGCGCGCAGGCTGGGCGAGGCGCCTGGCGCCGTGGCCCCTGCGCTGGTGGGCCATAGCCAGCAGGCTGTCTTCAACTCGGCGGTGGACAAACCTCCCTTTAGTAAACCTCCCGTCAGTGAAAGCGGCCTGGGACCGAAACCGACGACCGACGGACCTAGACCCACAAAAATGACGGCCGCGACGCCCTCTCGCGAACCGAAAACGGCCAATTCCTTAATCGACGTGTCAGGGTAGGAGGTCTGTCCACCCCCGATCAACGTGTCCATGTGCACTGGCACGAGAGCCATGACGACGCCCCCCAGCACCACTAGAGGGCAGAAGATCCCCCCCAGAATAATCACCCCCACGAGCGAGGCCGTTTAGTAAACGCACCCGAGGAAGGAATCGGACAGGGCAGGGCCGTTTAGTAAACGCCCAGGGCCGTTTAGAAGACGCAAATTGTCGGGGTCTGGGTGTTTTTTGCTCCTTCCTTGAACCAGATCCAAGAATCCCCATCACCAACATCACCACATCCCCTACATCGCCTTGGTCCGAAGGCCACCTGAGGCGCCAGTTTGAAATACACCTCGGTTTCACGGATGCCAGAGCCACGATAGCGACGACCTTGGAAGGTAATTGAAAAAGAATTCCGAAGAGCGCGCAAAGCTGCCCCGCTGCAAGGCCGAGGGAATAAGCAGCTCCATCAGGATGGATCTTGCACGCGCACTTCTCAGAGGAGGGCACAGCGTCGAAGCCTGAGTGCATGGTAATGCCACCACTGCGCGCCTGTCGCTCCAGCTGCTCCACTCGCGCACGGGATGGAATGGAAGCACGAGCGAGCGAGGCGAGGGGCGCGAATGCGATCACACAGTCCAGCACGCTGGCAGATGCTTGGCCAAGTGGGCTGTGGAAGACGAGGTGGGAGGACCAGGACACACACGGACGCGGCCTGCGTCGTGCCTCACGCGGGTGCTGCAGGGCGGGGCCGAGACTCCCAGAAACTTTGAACACTACGGCCTCTGGCGCTGCCTATGGACGCTGGAAAATTGGAGCGACGGCAGCCGGAGTCTGAAGACTTGGGGCTGGAGTAGGAGGCACGCAGGTTGGAGAGGGCTGGAGAGGATGAGGAGGAAGAGTTGGAGGAGATGGGAGGAGAGGGGAGGATCGAAGCTCGCCTTGAGCAAGGACAGACCGTCGCCTATAGGCCAACCACGAATTGTTCTTAGAACCCCCAAATGTTCGAAAATAAAAAACAATGCTCTCAGAGCATAAGCCCGATGCATCAAAACAAGGCCGTACAAGCTAGAAATGTTCTCATAACGTTCCTTGCAGACAACACAAGGCTCTTAGAACATTATTTGGTAAATCTATAGCCCAGACCCCCGACGTCATGATTCTTTCACAACGTCGACTCAGGAGATCTCGATCCATTCCGCGGGACCGGTTTCTCATCCGGAGTCGTTTTTTGACGGTCCCGAGGCCCTGTAAGGGCCCCCAGAGACCCAAAATAGCGAAAAACCTCCCGTCGTGACTTTTTCATGACTCTAGGGACGTCCGGGAGGCAAGCCAGGACGCTACGCCACTGCTTGATCGTCGATCCTCGACCCTCGCCGCCCCCCAGGGCAGCCCTGATCATTGGATACTAGACTGTTCCAGTCGCGACCGACGAGAGCGGTCGCTACCGATGTTGCTTCAAATGTTGGTATCGGTCGCGATCGATGTGCTTCAAAATCGGTCGCGACCGCTCGCTCGCGACCGTTCGGTCGCGATCGGTGGCGACCCAGCGCGAACGATCTGGAGTGCCGATCGGTCGCTACCGATCGCGACCGAACACAAATTCGTGTCCAATGATCTAGCGGGGGGGCTGGACGCTGGCGGACGCCTGTGCCGCGGCGCGCCGCGGGCAGTGGGCGCCGGGAGGAGCACGGGCGTCGTCCGCGGGTCCGGGGGCTGGCCTCGCGCTGGGTCCGCGGGCCGCTGACGTCGTCGTCGTCGTCGTCGTCGTCGTCCTCGTCGTCCTCGTCCTCGTTCTCGTCCTCGTCGTCCTCGGCGTCCTCGTGAGCATCGCCGTCGACCGATCTAGGCTTTTCTCTCAATTGTCGACCTCTGGGACTCCGCTTCTGGGCCTCGTGGACCTTCAAACGTGCATCCCGGGCAGAAGACTACCCCTGGGGGAAGGCCGAGGCTTCTGGGGCGCGTCGGCGACGTCGTCGCGGCGGCGGCGTCGGCGCCGCCGCCGTCGCCGTCGTCGTGGACGTCATCACAGTCCGCGTGGGCATCGGCGGCGTCGTCGCTGTCGGCGGCGGCCTCGGCGTCGGCATCAACGAGGCTCTGGATCGAGCTTCGAGGCCTGAAGATCGAGAGATCTGTGGGCCTGGCTTGGGCTTTCCCGGGCGCGCTCGTGGCTGCGGCGGAACAGGCTTTGCAAGATCCTGACCAGAAGCCACCACAGGAGAGGCCATCAAGGGGGCCGCGTCGTCCCTCGCGAGGCCCAGATAGAGGGCAGAAAAAAATCCCCCCCAAGGAACACCCCGACATGTGAAGCCGTTTAGTGCACGCACCCACAGAAGGAATCGGACAGGGCAAGGCTGTTTAGTCAACGCCCAGTAGTAGACGCCAATTATCGGGTCCGGGTGTTTTTTCCTGCCTTGACCAGAGGGCCCCAGGAGTTCGAAAGTGACGCGGAAAGCTGAGGGGATCTGGGTGCAATTAGGGATCCTCTGTCGAAGAAACGTCGGGGCCTGGGGGGCCACTCCTGGCGCGCTCCGCGCGCCAGGGGGAAGGGGTCAAGCGACGATCCGAGAAATCCGCGCGGACTTCCGCAAGTTTATGTTTAGTTTATGTATGTTTGGTCCTACCCCTCCTCCCCTCGCGCGGCCGCCCTCGTCTTCGTTGATTCTTGCACGCCAGACAATATCCGATTAGCCCCACGCTGGTGCGGACTTCCTCTGCATCGCCGCCGACGGCAAAAAGTATGTTTGGTCCTACTGTAATTACTCGGGCAATCTCCGAAGGGCCGCCGACGTCGCTGCCACCGACCCCGCTGGAACCTCAGAGCTGGACGTCGTGGGAAACCTATGGACGGCGGGCGTTTTCTGGCCGGTTTCGGGCCCTCGGGCCACCTCACGGGCCGATCGGGCTGGAAGGAGTGAAGCGGGAAGATGGGGCCGTGGGCTCTTGTCACGGTCTTCGGTGACGTCGGATCGTGTGGCCGGTCGCCGTCGACGCTGTTCATGTCGCCGCCGCCGTCGATTTCGGCGTCGACGGCGGCCGCACGCCTGCCAGAGGCTTCAGGGGCCAGTTGCCCGTCCCTGAGTGTTTCGGAGCTCTTGGATCCCAGAAGCGTTACTGCACCAGATAAGTGCATACAAAAAGCGCAGCCTGGAGGCATTTGAGCCCCATGAGCCCCTGGAGTCCCCGAGGCATGCAGGGGCTTGAGGACCATAAAAAAACAGACATACAGACAAAGCCATTCTTCTCGGCCCCCAACGATCCCCGACCGACGACGACGGAGCGTCGAACGACGGGCGACGACGCTGGGCACCCTGTGCCAGGGCATCCCATGCTGGCGTGAAGTATGAAGGTGTCTTGCAGGAGGAGGAGGAGGAGGAGGAGGAGGAGGAGGAGGAGGAGGAGGAGGACAGCTTCTCGTTCTGAATCGCCTTCCCGAGGGTCCCAGGGCCCCGAGGAGGGCCCCCAGGCCTGAAGCCTCGGCCACACGCAGGAGTGACCCTGCGCAAGGGTGACCCTTCGTGCGCGGCCACGGGGGGGCCCCTTTTGGGGACACCACCAGGCGCGCAGGCTGCTACTGTCGCGTCGCCTTGAGCGATGGGGGGGGAGGACCCTTTGGGCCCGCACCAAACAAGTCACTCCGGCGAAAGGTCACTCTCGTGTGGTCGAAAGACGGCGCAGACCTTGAAGGACCCATGCCAAGCGCCCTGGCGATGGCTGGAAAAACAAACAATGACATAAACATGAAAAACTCAGATGTCCGCGCGGATGTCTCGGATCGGCGCTGGACCCCAACCCCTGGCGCGCGGAACGCGCCAGGGGCGGCCCCGGAGGCGCCTCCAGGGGGGTCCAACCCCGATCCGAAAACCCCGCGCGGACGTCCGAGTTTCTCGTCTTCCACTCGTGGCCGCGCCTGGACTGCTGGCTGCTGCTGTTGCTGCTGCTGCTGCCACTTTCTCCTTTCCGTTTCTCCCCCCCTTCTGCTCTCCTCTCTCCCTGGCCACGGGGCAATCTCTCGCGCCCGGGTTTAAAAAAATAAGCGTCGCTGCTCGTTCCCCGAAAGGCGCTGGACGCTGCCTAGGAAGGCCGCCGCGGGCAGCCGGCCCGCCGGGGACCCGGCAGCGGGGCCCCAGGCTGCCGCCCTCCTCGGCGGCGGCGCCTCGCGCGCGCGGGGGGCGCACGGCGTCCGCCACGAGGCAGCCGACGCTTCGGCGTCGACCACGAAGATAAGGCAGAGCCGCGAACGCTGGCGCCGACGGCGACGAGGATGACGCCAGCGTCCACATCGGAGGAGGAAAAGGTACGAAGCCTTCCGCAAGAAACTCACCCCTGAGACCCCAGGACGTCCATTGCTTTTCGGCGACGGAGTTGTGATATGGATCGGCGCGCAGCGCCGGGGATGCTTTTGCTGTGAGCGCGGCTCGAACAACTGGCGTAGCACTAAGGCCAAGGGCCCTGATAAATAAAAACGGCAGCGGCGAGCAAGGGATGAAACCACAGGCCCTGGGGAGTGAGCTTGATCCACACTCCTCCTAGTCGCCGTCTCGGGCGGCCTCTGACAGGCCTGAGCGGGGACTATAGCAAACAGGTCACTCGCCGGCAAAACACGGATATGATTACCGGGATAATCTATAGCAAGCAAACGGCTTGCGCGGCATACGAGGTATACTCAGCAATGGCAACTGTTCGATCGCGATGCGACAAAGCCCAAAACATATAGACATCTCCTCAAGATACTAGACGGGTGCGATCGTCATCACAACAAAAAACTGAACCCACTGAAACGGATGAAACTCATCAGAAAAACGCGGGGTTACGTGTGGATCTCTATCCGGGCGTAAAAAGCGGCGATTCGGAACCCATAAATCTTTACCAAGCGTAAAATCTGAGCAACGATGCGAAATACATAAATCTTTACCGGGCGCACAGTTTGAACGGTAGAACATTGCCAATCCGATCCGCCAAACTGCCGTCCGAAAACCAAACGGGTTCACTTTTCTTTCTTCGGCTTCGCCGGTTTGTCCGCCAAGTCAGATCCTCGCCAAACGTCTCTGCCAGTGAGTTTCCACCAGCGACCCTTGACGTCATTCATCACACTCTCCGGGAAGATCGTGAAATCGGGGTTGCCGAAATGATAATACCGAAGAAGCCACGATGCGTGCTTCTTGCAGGTCTTGTAAGTAGAATACACACTGTGCGGGCTGTGGCAAATGACAGTATCATGATGAGGAATGCCTGTCACATAACTGAGCATGTCATTCGGCTGCACAGTCGGGGAAGATCCGCTCCACGACACAACGCTGGCTGATGAGGCTGAAACGGAACGCGATGAACTCGCCACGGAAACCACGGTTGGTGATGCGGGAGACGAGCTTCCCTGCGACCTTGCTGATCTTGATCGTCCAGATCCCCGCGCTGATGCTGCGGCATATGGTGATGGCGGTGGCGGTGCGATGGCGGGCGGTGGTTCCGTCGGTACCTGCGGCGGTGGCGGCTGCTGAATCGTAGCAGATGCCACTGAACTCGATGCCTGCGCGCTACTGAACACGTCCGCGTGGGACATCGTGATGTCACCATCGTGGTCACGGTCCTCTGGGATGGTAGGTGGCATGTTGCGGCGTCGGCCGAGCATGCGGCCGTCCCAGCCAGGGTGCTCGCCCATGGCCTTCGCCTCGGCAACAACCTCTTCGGTGGCGATCGCGGCGTTCTGCCTCGTGATCGCCCAGAGCGCCGCGAAGATGCCGAAACCGATAGTCATGCCGAGGACCAGCGTGAACGTCAGCAGGCAGATGTAGAAGCTGTAGTCGGGTATAGTCGGCGTAGGCGTAGGCTGTCCCTTGACCTTGCCGAGGCAGGTGAACAGGACTGAGGCGAGCATGGCAGCGCGCGGCTGCTGGGCACCCTAGTTGTGTTTGCGGGCCTCGAAGAACGACAGCAGGACGCCAGCCTCCATCGTCTTCGTCAGGGCGTCCGCGGCCATGGCCCAAGTCGGGATCCAGCTGAGCTTGAGCGCGCTGCTGGGGTGCGCGCCCTCCTTGATCACGGGGGCGACGATGCGGAGGCGCTTGTCAGTAGACTGGCCGACATCAGAAGCGATGTGCGTCACGAGACCCTTGCTGTCGCTGTAGATCTCCCCAGGGCGCTTGTCGGCGAACACGTCGATATGCTTGAGCGCCGTCTTGAGGTTGTTGTTGGCCTCGGTCAGCTGCTGTCGAAACACCATGTTGGTCTCCGACCCCTCGAGGGTAGCGTAGCCCTCGGCAGCGAGGGTCGACTTCACCGACCTCTTGACTGTGCCAGAGTGCCAGGCGAAGGGCAGGCACAGGTCGCTCTGGCCGCCGACGACGTCACACGGGCGATGGGTGAGCCCCATCACCATGCCCCACTGGCTCTTGACGCCGTCCACGTTGGCGAACGCGGCGTCGCTGAAGCACGTGGCGATGGCCGTCTTCAGGTCGACGAGCTTGCGCGTGAGCACGATCGCGAAGCTCGCGGTGGAATGCACATATGCGACTGTCTTGTTGAGGGTCTTCGCGTGGGCCACGGTGGCGACGTTGGTGCGTCGAGCTGCGAAGCTCGCCGGGCAGGCGATGTCCACCCGGGTCCGCACTGCTAGCCGCAACAGCTGCCCGAGCGCGTGGCGGTAGCTCGTCACCTCGGTGGCGGTGGCGGTGAGCCGGCCCTCAACACATCGGCCCTTCTGGGCATTCAAGTCGACGCAGCCCACCTGCGCGGCAGCGGTGGCCATGGGTCACGCGGAACTCGTCGTCGAGCTTGGTGATCGTACGTCCGCAGTATTTGATGACCCCTTCGACTGGCGATGCGATAGTGGTCTTCCACTTGGTGGACTTGTTGCGCTGGGCGATAAGAACGTCGTCTACATGTGAGTGGACCACCGCGGCGAGCCCACCTTCGTCGTAGAAGTTATAGAGGCCCTTCTCGAGCTTGCTCTCCACGGGGCCGTGCTCGGCGAAGACCTTCTGCGCGTAGAAGAACCACTGCCCCCCCCCCCCCCCCGTCCGTGTCCCGTAGATCGCGCCTGTGGCCATCGCGATCTCGCCTGGCTGGGTCCCCGGCGGCGGGTTCTTGGCCGGCATGCGCCAGAGCAGTAGCCTCTCAATGTTACCCGACTGCAGGCGGGCCGTCATCGCGTCGCAGGACGAGATGTCCCAGTCCTTCTGGGCCGCGGCGGCCAGGGTCAGGTACAGTGCGCCCCTGGGCCCTGCAAGAGCGTCCGCCCTGATCTGCGACTTGGCCTCCTGGCAACCCTGCGCGACCAGGCGCGCCTTCGTGATGTTCTGGCCCTTGCTGGTCAGCGCCCAGCGAGTGCCCACAGGGCGCATGCCAGGGTTGCGCCGCAGGAGCTCCTTCAGCTCCTTGGGCGGATGCTTCTTGTAGGCGCCGAACTCGTTCCACATGGGCCGCTCGGTCTTCATGGCGGCGCCCATGTCCTTCTTCTCGGTGGCGCTGAGCGCGTCGTACTTGAACTCCTTGGCGGTCGCGTTGCCCGTGAGCAGTGCCTCACGGAGTCGTGTGCTTGCGTAGAGCTCGCCCGCGTGCTTCTGGAAGTAGTTGTCTAGGTAGAGGTCGACCTTGTTCGTGTCCTTCGGCTTCTTGAAGCACTAGGGCATATCGTCCAAGAGATCCTTGCGCTCGGCAGCGCGCTCGCGGGAGTCGAGCTCGCACTGGCGGTCACTTCGCAGTGCCACTGGCGCGTTCCCCCGTTGAACTTGGCGCTTCGTCTTGGTGCCGCGCTGGTTCTCGGTGTCCGGCGGGCGCCGCGACATCGTCTCCTGGCGCGCCTGCCCCTCCGCAATCTTGGCCCATTCTCGAATCATGTCCGAGCCATCGGACTCAATGTCGTCGTCGACCGGGCCCTGAAAGGCAGGTTCAGGAAGTCGAAAATCTGAGGCAGCAGCGGCGGAAGTGGCTGCAGGACCGGCAGCATCGGCTGAGTCTGAGGCAGGCGCCGGCGGGTCGGCGGCCGCCGGTGGCGGCGGCCGCTGGTGGCGGCGGCGGCTCCGCCGGCGGTGGCGGCGGCGGGGGCCGCTGCACGTCCCCTCCCGAAGGCGGTGGGGCCGGCCCTCCACTGACGCTGGCTCCTCCGCTGGATGTGACATCGCCGTCTCCTTGGCAGCGTGCCAGCCACTCGGCGTACTTATGAGCGCGCTGGTTCGCTTCGGATTGCTCGATGCTGCCGAAGTTGTGTTGCTAGATGGCTGGCTGCTGATCGGGTGCTGGTAGCGCTGGTGGCGCGGGGGGCCGACCGTCGCTGCGGGGGCGCCTCTTTGGTGTCGGTCCAGTCAGATCAAGGAACATGTCGTCGTCAGCGTCTGGCGGTCCAGCAGGGTCTCCTCCTTCGCTGGGGTCGGGCGGAAGGGGATCCGCCTCCTGCGCCACCGCCGCCTCCTCCAGGGCCTGGAGGAGGTGCGGACTGGGAGGTCCCTGGCGGGGCGCTAGGCGGAGGTCCAGACGGCTGTTTGCCGTTCAGCGCGTTCAGCACTTGTCCCCACGGAACGAGTTCCGTGGCCGTGGCGCGGCGTAGGTGTCCACGGTTGACCTTTACGGTCGTGGAGCGGCGGCTGACCCACGCATTCGATGCGCCCTCGAACCGGATGATGACGGCGGGCCCGTGCCACTGCAAGGCCCATTCACTCTTGGGCTTGCCATTGCCCCTCCAGCAGTACAACTGATCGCCCGCCTGGTAGACGTCGTTGGCGCGCTGAGCTCCATCTGCCCGAGATTGGGCCAGCAGCGCCCTGGAGAGGGACTGGTTGAATATCAGGTGCTGCATGGTGGTCTGCGCGGCCTTCGCGATGGCAATCCTCTCCGAGAGCGGCTTGTCGGACACGATGCGCTCGCGCAGGGACAGCCTGCGGCGTTGTCCAGCAAGACATGCGGGAGGCGAAGACCTCGCCCGTGCACCCACTGCGACGGCGAGTAGCCCGTGGAGTTGACCTGGCTGTTCATGGCCAAGCACACGGAGGCGATCATCCACTGGATTTTGTGAGCGGCCGGGGGGTTCGTCGAACCTGATGCTGAACTGGTTGATCAGCTTCCTCGCCTGCACCTTCCAGACCCCCCACGTCGCTCCATGGTGACATTCTGCTGCGGCGTCGCCGCAGATGTCGTCATCAGGCGGCAACCCATGCCCTCGAG